AAGGGCCAGCCTTCCTTTGCAGGGGTTTTAAATGAAGCGCTTTACAGCCCTTTGGAATAAAAGGTTTAACATTTTAGAATGAGCCAGTGATATCCGAGTAAAGATTACATCCTTTATAGGAGTTCTGAATACACGGTGATTACCTGGATCGCATCAAAAATGAGCATGAAGGGGATTGGCATTCGATCTCAGAAAACTTTACTTCTGAGGCCTGGGAAGTAGAAGTTTGATCAGAATGATTCAGTTAGAGCTGCCCTTACATATAATTCGGGATGTGAATGAGTAGTTGACTAGTTGAATAAGCCTAGGCTTATCAGTTAATCTAGTTGACTGCTCAAATTTCCACCTGCTTGCTGCTTCTATCTATCAGCAAGTGGAGGGAGGGAGGAGCTGATGCTGGGGGGAACCAGCTTAAAAGCCATTTCCCCCCAGCACCAGCTGTGTGGTACCGCCTTCTCCCCGCACACTGCTGCCTTCCTCAGAGGCAGCAGTGCAGGGAAGTGGGGGCAGGTTTGCAGCAGCAGCCTGTACCCGCAGAGGATCTAACCTCCCTGCAGACAGAGACTGCTTCGTGGCAGCCTCCCCTATCCCAGCAGCCTCTTTCCATGGGGAACTCGAACACCCCATGGAAGGGGCTGCTGGCACACTGCACTGCTGCCTCTGTATCAGAGGCAGCAGTGTGGGATGGAAGGCAGCTGGTCCGTGAGGAAATCCGGTTTTTAAACTGGCTTCCTTAGGAGACTGACTCCTACCTGGCACCCTGCAAGAGGCAGCAGCGTGGAGTGGCAAGGGGCTCCCCAAGAGCGGGGCTGGATTGCAGTAGCTACCAGCCCTTCCCTTGGAGATATAGAATAGTCAACTAACTGGTAAGAATTCATACATGGTCAGTCAACTATTCTATTACCCACTATCTAACACCCCTACATATAATCATTCCTTCTCACAGACTTCGTAGTAAAGATTTGAGCAGCAGTGTGGAAACATGGGGACCCTTGGATCCAATTCCTAGCTCTGCCAGTGACTTCAGACACTTGTGACCTGATTTTACAGAGGTGCTGAGCACACATGGGTTTAATTGGGAGCTGAAAACGAGATGGTAAATGTCCATGACTCAGTTTCCTTATCTTTAAAATGGGAATAACACTTAACCACATATGGGTTCTATACAGCTCAATTATTGTTTGCAAATCACTGTAGAATCCTTGACCAAAAACCTTATGCATATGCAAATCATGATTCATGTTGTGATGTTAGTCTACTCAGGTAGTGGAAAGAGAAATCTCTTTTTGTTTCAGCTGCGTTCCCGTGCATATGCTGGCTTTATAAACTTAGGAGTGAGATGAGACTTTGGCTCTGACTCCTAGCTAAATTGTGTATCAGTTGATTGGGGTGATGTCCTTCACACTGCGAGTAGATACATGAAGGCCGTTGTAAGAGGAATGATGTATATTAGTGGATGGATCAAGTTCAACAGCACTTGAAACACCATTTGTTTTGTCGTTGGTTTTGATTTATTAGACTTTTGCAATCTTTTTTTCTTATAACAAACCAAACAAATGTTAGAAGCCAACAAATAAAGCAAGTACAGAAGGGCTGTAGATCAGAAAAGTCTAAGGTCTCATACAGTCACAGATTCCTGTGCATTAACAATGGTCCGGGCACAGGGATTCTTTTGACACGTATTAAAACAAAATAATAATAAAACTAAGGAGATCTAAGTCAAGAAGGAAAAGTGTGGGGGCAAGGACTAGACAAAGAGAAGGGGATGGGAAGAGTGCATAGTGGGGTTGCCTAGTTCTTTTCATCCAGGCCTCACGTATGGGTCATTAGTTGGAAAGTGATGAGAAGGAGGGGGCATAATCATTGTAACAGGATGCTTTCTGATAGCTTCCTGATGCAGTTTTCTTTTTTTGTAAACAGCTGTACATATTTTTGCCAGGTGTCAGGGAAAGTCAGAGTAATCCAAGACTAATTCAACTGAAACATCATTGTCCATTGGCATTTTTTGCTGTTAGCTAATTGCTGGCATTCATATTTGTATTGGGTGCTGATTGTGGGACGTACCCTCTGTTTGAAAAGCACATGGGATCTTACGTTGTGGAGCAGAGGAGTCTACTTGATTTGCCTCTTCAAGGGAAACAGAATCTGATCAGTGGGGATTAGAGCCAAATCCTAGGAGCCTGGGTCTTCACTTCATCTGAGCAGGGTCATGGCCCAGGAAAATACAAGGGGGAAACAGCTGTTAACACAATCTCTGCATCCTCATCCCCAGCAGAAGGGCATGTGTGGGGTCCTTTACCTGCTGCATTGTTGTAGGTAAAAGGCTGAGCTTAGGTAATGCTGTCAGAAGAAGAGGACTTGTTGCCTCTGACTCCAGTTAGTCCATTAGGGGGTTGTGTTAATGGGCCTTGATAGACCAGCCAGCACTGGTGAACTCCAACCTCTGTAGGTCAAAAATGCGAGAAGTAGAAAAACGTTCGTTGACAAATCAGACTTTCCCTTAATTTGTCTCAAGTCTTGTTTCCCTCTTTTGAGTATAAAACCAGTGCAGAATTTTTCAGTGGTGGGTTGTAACTTGGAATTTGACATTTCCGTGCAGAGGGAAAATATTTAAAAGTGTAACGCTAACAGGCAGAACTCAACCTGGGACTTCTGGAGCTTAGGGCATGAGCCTCAACTGCTTGAGCTAAAAGCAAGGTGGCTCTCAGCTAAAGCTCTAGAACAGCGGTTCCCAACCTTTTCCAGATGGGGACCCATTTTGACGATTTAGGAAGACTTGGTGACCCATGGCAATTCAAAACCGGGGGGAGGAGAAGAGACAGAGCCACCTGGGGAGACACTTGGCAACCCTTTTGAAATGTAATGGTGACCCATATTTGGGTCCCAAACCTTAGGTTGGGAAACCTGCTCTAGAGCAAACTCATTCTCTCCCTCCCTCCCTCCCTCCCTCCATCCATCCATGTGGTCTGTGTGCCACTACATGGGACAGTGAACCACACCCAGTAGGTGTGTAGGTTACAAAAGCACTTGCTGGAAAAGGTCCCACGTCTCAGGGAGCACTTGCCATTCACCACCATCAGCTGCCACCTCCTGTATCAGACCCCCAGAGGGTACAGACAGGTCTGCAAGCTAATTTCCCTTCCCCCACAACTCCAGCAGCCTCCAGATTGTGTGTGGTCTAGGGACAGACACACAGCACCTCCAGTCGTGGCCTATAAAGCCCCCGGACGTTGTAAATCACTTAAAACTTGCTGCCTTTCCTTGTCCCCGTGTCCCACCTCCAGTTATACCTCCTTGCTCCCCCTTTGTGCTTTCTCTTTCACCAGACCTCCAGAGGACAAGAGAGGACTTCCTAGTCTAACCTGAACACTGCCTTGTGTACCCGGCTCTCCACAGTATTAGATGATAATGAAATGGTTCCCTACCTGACAAATGTAAAAATGGCTCTTGGTGTTGCTAGAAGGGGCTACACAAGTGACTGTGAATGGCTCACACTCCCTGTAGACTTTAGGATAGCTGTGAGAAATGGCTTTGAGGAGCCTGGTGTGAGGTAGCTGTACAGTGTTTGTTTTGGGGCTGAGCCGCTGATGTGAAAACACTATTAAGCAACACCCACTGGGAGAACACTGGCACTTCACAGCTGGGTGTTGTTTCTCAGTCAGTCACTCTGTTTGCAGGACACACACAGTGTGGCACTCAAGGAGAGTTTTAACACATGTTAAGATAAGTTGCTGTAGAGATTCTGACAGCGAGTCCCCACTGTTCCCCTTGAACAAAGAGAGGGTTTCGGGCTTTCTGTAAATATTTCAGAGGATGAGCACTGGGTTGAAATGGCCTAAACAAGACAATAGTGAAGAGCAAAAATATGAGCTTCATTGATCTTGGGTGCCCCTATCAGGAACTAATGAAGTCCTGTCCCAGTGCTGCCTGAACTAAGCCTAGAACCAGGAAAAGGGTCTCTCAGGATAATGTCTGATTTTTTTTTTCTTCTTTGCACCCTAGACTGTGCTGTGCCCCAGAAGCAGCCGGCAACAGGCCTGACTCCTAAGTGGGGGGTGGAGGGGTTGGGAGAGTGCACAGGACTCCATGCACTGCCCCTGCCCCAAGCACTAGCTCCGTACTCTTTTATCGGCTAGAACCTGCTGCTGGCTGCTTCTGGGGTGCAGCATGGTCTGTGGTGTCAGGAGTAGGGGTGTTAAATTTAATCAACTAATTGACTAGTCGGCGGATTTTCCGTCGATAAGCAGGGGACCCGCAGTGAGGTTAGTTCCCGGCCTGGAAGCTAACCCTGCTGCAGTTCTTCCTTTTAAATGTATTACGAGCCCGTTGGACCCTTTTAAATGTATTACGAGCCAGGAATCAGCTGCCCCGGCTCATACTGAGCCCCCCCATTGTGCTTCTGATTTTTAAATGTATTAAGAGTCGGTAGGCTTTTAATACATTTAAAAAGCAGAGGCTTAGTGTGAGGGACTGGGCGCGAGTTGGAAATAAGCTGATTCCTGGCTTGTGCCCGGTCCCCACTACCCCCTGCCTCTCCTGTCCCCAGCGGAGATGGTGTTGGGGGAAGGGACCAGCATAAGCCGGCTCCCTCAAGCACCGGCTCCTGCTTCCTCCCCCAACCCCTTGCTACCTCTAAAAGAGGCAGCAAGCGGGGGTGGGGAAGCAATTAGTGGAGGAACTAATTGACTATCTGATAAGCTTTTGCTCATCTGATAGTCAAGTAGTCGCTTATATCCCTAATCAGGAGAGGCAGAAGCCTGCCTTAGCACCCCCACTGCACCACTAAATGGGTGAGCCCCTGCTGCCCCAGCCCTGACAAATTACGTTGGGTCTCAGACATCAACAATTTGCTTCAACTGGGTCATGAGAGAAGAAGTTGGAAAGGCGCTGCCCTAGTGGATCTAAAACCATCAAACTGCTGCTCAGCCAGGGACAATGTTCACTGCTCCCAGATCTGTGCTGTAATGGTTCCCTTGGTTTCTCCCCTACTCTCACTGTAGGTGAATATTATTCCCATCATTGCCAAAGCAGACACCATTTCCAAGAGCGAGCTGCACAAGTTTAAGATAAAGATTATGAGTGAGCTGGTCAGCAACGGGGTGCAGATCTATCAGTTTCCCACGGATGACGAAGCTGTTGCAGAGATCAACTCCGTAATGAATGTAAGTCCATACTACTTATTGCATTACCTCTGAATATTGTAACAAAGGGAGCTCTTGGACAAAGGCACATTTTACAACGGGCCTTGAAGGGGCTGTGTGGATAGTAGAACTGTTTTAAAGGCTGTTGCTAAAGAGAGAGACAGACATTATTTTGCTTGTGCTTTTAAACATCACTGTACAGGGATTTAATTAGTGTGTGACAGTTACGTATGAGAGGCCCTGCTCAGCTCTTAAGAGAGGCCACGTTCTGCTCTAAAATAAATTGCGTGCTGACATTTCAAGGCTGGGCTTGCAGCAAATTGAAATACATTTTGCAATGTTTTTGTTTTTAAATGTTTAGAAAAAATTAGAAATGTTCTGCCTGTGGGATGAGGAAAAAGAAAAGTGTCCAGTTTTTGAGGTTTGGGTTTTTTCCCATCCTTTTTCAGAAGCAACATGAAATAAGGAGAAAATAGAGGAAAGTTGGCAAGGGGGAGAAAACTGAAATATTTTTTAGATTTTTTTTTTTGGAAGACTCGGTACACTTGGAACAGGAAACTGTATTACAATTCATCATCTCTTTCTTAAAAAAACAACAACAAAATCCCCTCATTTTTCATGATTGGGAGCAGAAACTTTGAATGAGACGTTCCAGCCAGGTCTAGTTGACCATCTCCTGAAACAAAGAAGCCAAATACATTGAGCCCAACTTAAAATAAAACTATTGTACTCTGCTGTGGTATTTTTTAGGTCAAATTCAGCACTGATTAAAGTACATGCAAGTCTTGCTAATTTTCATGAACTGGACTATCTGAAATCTGAATTGTGCAGCACTGGTTGAAATTTTTCATCTGAATTGTTTTGTTTTTTAAACTGAAAGTGGCTTTTTCCACATTAAAATTCCATTTTTGATTAAATGTTTTAGCCTCACAAAACAAAGTGGGTGGAAGTTTGGCGAGTTTGACAACCAAAAACTATAAAAATTGTGGTATAAAAAACTATAAACAATGAAACAAAAATGGTTCCTTGGTTGAACTATTTTGGGTTTGGTGGCTAATTTTTTTTTTAACACAAAAACCCTGAAAAATGCAGAAAAATATTGATGAAAATGAGAATTCTCTTGCTTTCATCAAAATTGTTCATAGAGCGAGAGAGCGGGAACATTTCCCTGTGAGCTCTACTTTTGAATCTACTTCTTCCTATTAGTTAAGGACGTCTGCTAGCCCCTCCCTGTTGAAATCCCTGGGAAGTAGACCAAGACTGCAGTATGTTTAACAGTGTGGCGAACTCTGGATACAGGCTGTAACTGGGAATATAATACCTTCTAGGGATATAAGCGACTAGTTGACTACCCAATAAGCCTAGGCTCTGTATCAGAGGCAGCAAGGGGAGGGGGAAGCAGGAGCCAGTGCTGGGGGTAGCTGGCTTAAGAGGGGCAGGGGAGGCAGAGGCGTAGCAGGGCAAATGGCACAGCAGGGAAATCGGGGTGAGCAGAGACTCAAGCAGTCCCTGCTCACACCCGTCCCGACTGTTGCACCTTTGCCTTTTAAATGTGGTAAGAACCACGGGCAGCTCTTACTACATTTCAAAGGCAGAGGCGCAGCTAGGATAGCAAGCGCCCCCTTCTTCTCGACTAATCGAGTGGTCGGTTAAATTTCCATCAACTACTCGATTAGGTGACTAATCAAAATTTAACATTCCCGATACCCACCTGTCTGGCTACTGCTATGATACCTAGCTCCTAGTGTTTTCTGTGCACCTTTTTCTGGCAAAGCTCCCATTGACTGTTAAGAGCTTTGCTGACAGACCTCGGGGTAATCGAACCTGTCTTGTATCTATCACAATAAAGTCCTGCATGTGCTGGTGTTTGGATAAGATGAGCTGTCTGCGACTTCGGCAGAAGGGGGTGCAATGTGTGTGGATGAGGGCAGTGTTTCTCAACCTTTTTTATAAAGTATCCCCTTTAAAAAAAAAAAAAAAAGTACCCCCGGTACCTAGTTTTCATACACACACAATTTTTTTCTACCATTGCAACTCATTTGTTTAAACAACTTAATCATAGCCGGGTGGGTGATGAAATTTTTGGGTGTAAAAAGTAGAAAAATAATAAAATGCTGTAAAGCTTAAAACAAAAATTCAGTTTTCTCCAAATTTCAGTTGTGTTGACGTACCCCCCAGACTTCTCTCAAGTACCCCTAAGGGTACTCGCACCACTGTTGAGAAACACTCAACTAGGGATGTAAAATCCCTTTTAATCAATTAACTGGTTAAACATTAACTGCTGGCGGCTCCGGCCAGGCTGGAGTGTTCCTCACCCACAGTGGGCTGCTCCGGCCAGGCCTAGCCGGATGGGGTTATTCCGACCCAGCTGAAGTGGGCAGAGGGCTGTTCCATCAATTAATCAGGTAACCATTCACATCCCTAGTGTGGGCAAGTAATTATCACGGCATTTACTGCAGCGTGCCTTTCCCACTTCCAGCACGAGTGCCACCACAAGAGGAAAGAAGCAGTGATGGGAGGGGAGGCAGTGAGAATGAAATACATGTTCTCTAATTTGATATTTGCCTTGGGGTGGGACAGAGACACTGACTGTGCCTGCAGCGCTCCATGTAAGGAGACATTCAGTCACTTGTGCGGGAGAAGGGAAGATGGGAGCCACCCTGCGGACTGTGTCCAGAGAACAGTGCGTGTGCTGAGCCAGCTTTGCACTTACAAAGCTGTTGATGTCATCTTGATGCCATGTTCCCTAAACGTGTTGTGATTTCTCCAATCCCATCCCCACCCACATGCCCCCACCCGCACACGCTTGGACACTAAAAAAATCACCGTGTGATGTGTCCTACAAATGCCCCATCCTGTGCCTTCATGTGAGCTGCTGTGCAAATCACCATTAACCAATGTCTTTGTGTGTATGAAACAAAAACCAGGACTATGTAGCACTTTAAGCTACATAGACTAACAAGCTGGTTTATTAGGTGATGAGCTTTCATGGGCCAGACCCACTTCCTCAGATCAAATAGTGGAAGAAAATTGTCACAACCATATATACCAAAGGATAAAATTTAAAAAATGAACACATATGAAAAGGACAAATCAAATTTCAGAACAGAAGAGGGATGGGGGCGAGGAAGGTAAATGTCTGTGAGCTAATGATATTAGAGGTGATAATTGGGGAAGCTACCTTTGTAATGGGTAAGATAATTAGTGTCTTTATTCAAACTTAGGTGTAAAGTGTCCGATGCATGTGGACAGGTCTTAGCACGGTGGGGTGCTACATAAATAAGAACAATCTGGCAGGGAAGAGCCAGGCAAAGCCAGCAACACTTGATGTGCTGGGAACAGCTGTCATTTGGAAGAAACTGTCCACGGCATTAACAAAATCTCTCAGTGCTGTGCCAGGCTCTGGCTCCAGCCGTGCCAGGGCTCTGGCTCCAAGCTGCATTGTCAGCTCCATGGCAAGCAGGCGTTGGGCATGCAGGATGCCATGTACCATTTCATAGTGCAGATCGTGTTCACTCTGAGTCATGAAGATTCTGTGCTTGAGGCTAAATGATGTTGAAGGCCTGGCTAGAAGAGGCTCATGGCAGCTTGGTAAGATTGATGCCTGTGAGAGATTCTCGTGTGTGCACTGAATCCCCTGGGCTGATTCTGTTTCAGGCTCATCTGCCCTTTGCTGTTGTTGGCAGCACGGAGGAAGTGAAAGTTGGAAACAAGCTGGTGAGAGCTCGCCAGTACCCCTGGGGGGTGGTACAAGGTAAGGATGTCAGCCGCAGGGCACGTTGCAGGGCTGGGACTCCCTCGCTGTGAGTGTATGCTCACGCTCTCTCCTGCACGTCTCCCTTCTGCCACCATGTCTGTGTGTTGGGAGCCAGGGCAAGAGACCCGAGGACTCTGCATCACCATTGAAGGCTGCTTTGTTGAATCGAGTTTATCAGGCGCTTGAACCTTGCCTGAAGCTGTGGCGTGATTACAGCTGGGTCATACCAGCAGGTGCATTTGCTGTGCTACAACCAGGCTGGAAAAGGGTTCTGAGTTTCTGGCATCAGCAGAGGGAGAGGTTCCAGCAGGGAAAACCTTAGGAGCAGCCCATGTTCAGGACTAAAATTTACAATGAGCTGTTGTCACCAAGGAAACTCAACCCCTGGAAGGAGAGTTGGCTTTCTACAATGTGCATGAACTCGTCTCAGAGCAGGGTGGGAACTCCAGCTGCTCCCGAGGCTCTTTCTGCTTCTCTCTCATCCGTGCCGAATGTCTGGGTGAGGGACTGTGACTCTCCCTAGTTCAGTGTGTGTTGACTTGTTCAGGGTGTTTCTGGAGGGGATCGCTCCATGCTGTGCTAGGACGACTGGGGAAGTACAAGTGTCCTCCCTCGAGCGCTGCTCCTTTGGAAGCCCCTTTCGAAACGTGTGCTGTGCTGCCTGGGCGGGATCTTTCCCCTCAGCCCCATGCTGGCGAAGTAACAGCTCAGAACGGCGCATCGAACCGAGTTAAAAGGAAATGCATTTTCCTGGATTTTATTTCCTCTGTTCCCTGAGTTATGGCAAAGGCCTGGTAACAAAATCACCCCCGTCCACCCTTGTGTGCTCGTCCTGTCTCCCTTTGGTGACACCTATTTCCATGGTTAGCAGTGTGTGCAAGGCACCAAGTCTCATAGGCAATGTTCCCTCTAATTTTTTCCATCCAGGTGCGGAATAAATGTTATGTGCATTGAGGCATATGCAGATGTGCACCACCAGTCGGGACACAGGCTGCTGGCTCTGGGTGCTCTGCTAATCAGCTGGGTGGCATTTGAATCTCTCCTGGGTGGCTGCCCAAACACTCATCTTGCAGGGAACACAGCTTAGGTCCTCTCATTGAACAGCCATTAATTCCTTTGTGCTCAGGACCCCTCGCTCTCAGAAATGCTGTCCTAGCCCTAGAACTTGCACCCTTGTCAGCAGCAGAGTCCTGCCTCGGTAGATTCTTCTGGAAGGGAAAAGCCCTCTTTCCGCAATGCTCTCCTGTTGGAAAACTTAGCTCATTGCCCCAGTGGTACAAATTCCCCGAGAGAGAACCTCACTGGGGTTAGTCAGTCCTGTTGTGTCCCTTCCTTCCAACCCCCCTACCCCACGTTTGCTGACTTTCTTCCCTTCTGTTCAGTCGAGAATGAAAGTCACTGCGACTTCGTGAAACTGCGAGAAATGCTGATCCGCGTCAACATGGAAGATCTTCGGGAACAGACTCACACTCGCCACTATGAACTGTATAGACGGTGCAAGCTGGAGGAGATGGGGTTCAAGGACACAGATCCTGACAGCCAGCCTTTCAGGTGCGTGACCTTTCCGTATCCCCACCCTATTTCCAGTAGCATTCCGCTCCTGAGCCTGCAAACCTTCCATCAGCTGGAACCCCCTTGGGCAGAGAGCTTGCTACACGAGACCCCTCCACTGAGAACTGCTAACATTGATAATCTCTCTGCTGATTGAGTTATTTCTCTTTTCCCCATTCCCTCTGCCTTCAAGCCATGTAGAAGGGTGTAGCCTTGCTAGTCACTATCGAGTAATGCCATAGCATCTCATTTGCTTTCGATCCAGCCTTCAAGAAACCTACGAGACCAAAAGAAAAGAATTCCTTGGTGAGCTGCAGAAGAAAGAGGAAGAAATGAGGCAAATGTTTGTTAACAAAGTCAAGGAGACAGAGTTGGAACTGAAAGAGAAGGAAAGAGAGGTGGGTGTGTCGGAGGCCTGTGAGATGGGCCCACACGTGCAGAGGTGGATGAAGTATGATGAGTATTTGAAAGATGCGAGCTGAGCACTGTGCTCTCAGTAAAGTAACAGCCTCCCCTTGTAGCAAATCCCAGCACCTGAGCCAGGGTCCCAAATGCGTGCAGTGGTATCTAGCTAGAAGCTTATGTGGATCTGAACACTTCACAGACATGAATGAATTTATCTCCCCAGTAGCCGGCTTGGTAGGAAGTTATTCCCCTTGTACAGGTGAGGGGGAGAGGCACAGAGGATGACATTTGGAAGGCCACCTTAGGGTTTGTCTGCCCAGCATTTTGGAGCAAGCAGGAGTGAGTGGGAGCTCGGATTCTGAAACGTAGCAGAGCCCAACCTGCAACTGCAAAGTACTATCTCTACAGCTATTTTTAGAGCATTAGTGCAGTCCTGGCTAGCCTGAGTCTGTTGATCCACGTTTGGGGGACTCACTGCAAAATGCTGTATAGACATACCCTTAGGGTAAGTCCAGCTGCAAGCCAATGAGGGCTTAGATTCTTCTGAAAATGTTACTCTCTGTGCCTCCTCTCCAGTACAATAGCAATAATTGCATAAGTGTCATTGAGGATCAGGGACCTCCTAAGCAATGTTCTCTCTAATCTTTTCCATCCATGTGCAGAATAAAATTTATATATGCACAGAGGCATGTGCAAATGTGCACCTCTAGTAGAAACACAAAACCTAGCTGTGGGCGCCCTGCTAATCAGGTGGGCAGCATTTGAATCTCTCCCGAGTGACCATCCAAGCACATACCTTACAGGGAACATTGCTGCAAAGCCATTTTTATGCGTCTAAAAATTAAGGACAGCTTTTCAGAGGAGATGGCCACCCCACTCATCCAGTGCCCTACACCTAAGGCCATCCTTCCTCTCTTTAGAAGGAGAGATCAAGACAGACAATGCTGAGCAGGTCACGTTGTCTTGCCCTTTATGTAAAAAGGCTGCTTATGTGCAAAACACAGGTAGTTTAGGCCCCTGTCCTTCAGCAAGGTCAGCAATTTCAGCCCCTTAGTCCTGTGCTGAATTTCTCTGACCTCAGTGGGATTCTGCACAGCAGCGAGAGTCTGATACTGGTCCATGGTGAGAAGTGGGACTTGGGGTAGCCCCCAGCAGTAGGCTGGGGATGCTCTGGCTCAATGGGTCTGTCTTCTACCAGCTACATGAAAAGTTTGAGCATTTGAAGAGGATACATCAGGAAGAGAAGAAGAAGGTGGAGGAGAAGAGGAGGGATTTGGAGGAGGAGATGAACGCCTTCAACAGGCGAAAAGTCGCTGTTGAAACCCTGCAGTCTCAGTCCTTGCAAGCGACTTCACAACAGCCCTTTAAGAAGGATAAAGACAAGAAAAAGTAAGTGGTTTAACTTCAACCTTTTCCGGCCATTCCTACTATTTTATTCTTCCAACAGCTTGTTCATTTGCCAAAGAAACAAACACAGCAAAGCACTGCACCAGTGTAGCTGCCCGAGCATTTTGCAAAAACTAGTAAATTCAGGGGGGCTTTCTAAATCAGAAGCCAGCATCCTTCCAATCCCCTCAAAAGGGTCAGGTTATATCTGTCCCCTGTAGAAGCCTTGGTGCCTGAAGAGGAAGTGGACTTGTCTATTAAGACTTGGAGAGTCAGGGGACATTTGTGACCATCTGCTCGATGGCCAATTCAAGGCGCTGGCTCACCATGGTTAGCCTTAGAGAAATGAGTTGCCACTTTCCTGGAAGAGGGAAGAGGAAGTACCCAAAAGTGTAGTGTCTTTCAGGCATGGCTGCCTGCAGTGCAGTAACATTATTGTGAGCTGCAGGGTTGGGGACTGTTTGTAGGATGCCGAAGGGTTATTGGCTTTTCTGGCCTGCAAAGAGTTAAAAGCTAAGGATGAGGAGAAGCAAAGGCAATTGCTGAAGGAGTACATGGGTGGAGGGACAGGAAAGGGCAGGGACAATCCCCCTCCGTCCCTACCTTACCCTTGCACTGTCCTCTCCCCTCCTCTTCCGCACCCTTGCTTTGCTCCCACCCCGCCAAAGCAGCTGGGGGGAATAGTGGGGCAAGGGGGCCAGCACTGGCAGTGGGGGTCCAGGCCCCTGCACTCGCAGTGGCAGAGGAAGCAAAGCAATGTGGCCCCAGCCCACTTCCCCCAGGCAAGTGCAGGGACAATCCTGACTAGGGATGTAAAATACCATTTAATTGGTTAAATGTGGGGTTTACACTGTGTCTGACCATTTAGCCGACTAAAGGGGAGAGGGCAGGGGCGCCACTCCAGCTGGACTACCGGCAGGGAGCTGCTCCCAGGGTTCCGATTAACCATTAAGGGTGATGCTTATCAGGTAACAGTTTAATTGGTACCTGTTAACATTCCTAGTCCTGACCCTGGAGCACCAGGAGAGCAGAACAAGCTGTGGCAGCATTGCTTTGCTTTCCCTGCTACTGCTGGTGAATGTAGGGGGCCGACCCCTGCTGCTGGTGCCGGTCCTTCCCCACTACTGTTTTCCTTGGATGCCTGGGGACTGTGGCCCCAATGGCTGTTGGCCAGCTCCTTGCCCTCCCACCCATGGTGTGAGGGCCATGTGTCCCCACATTCTGCCCTATGCACCGCCCCCGCAAGGCAGGTGTGAATGCATTATGGCCCGTTGGATCTTGTTCCTACCAATTTTGAATCACTGACCTTAGATACGAGGATGATTTTTCTTCTACCCCATGGGCCCGACTCTGATACGTTTGTGACTGGCCTCTTGGGCAATCCCATTAAGTTCAGCGGTAGTGCTTCTGCCGGGAGGGTGCTCATCAGTCGCAGTAAAGGTTTTCAGACCATAGCCCTATGCGAGTGATGGGAAAGGAGAAAGCAAGTGAAACAAATGGCCTGCTCTTGCTCCCACTGAAGTCGGTCTTCAACAAGTGCAGGATTGGGAACAACATGGAAACGGGGTTACCCTCCAAACTGCTACATTTCTCTGCTGTTCTCACTTCTTACACTTTTTTCCGGCACAGAGGAACTTCAGTATTCTCTTTGTTTCATAAGTCCCAGAGTAGACTGGTGGTAATGGTGTTTGATCATTTTAATGATGGAAATAAAAATATCAGATGTAGCGATAATTCAAGTTTACTCTTGACAACATGGCTTTTGAGATTGCCTATGATATTGTGCTACAAACCAATATATTATCCCCACGATAACTACTGTGCACTAGCACTTCTGTAGTAGTTTGTTTCCTCCCAGGGAATACCACGTCTATTGCTTACTTTGAATTAACATTTACCTATGCAGTAAAAACCAATTCTGGTTCTGCTGGGCATGCATTGTGCACATCCTCCCTGCAGCTGGAATGCAAGAGCTGATTATAAAATACAGTATTATATTACAACCAAAGGATCGCTCATTCCAATGTAGCACACACTATGGCCCACGTGCTTGTGCATCCCTGAGATCTTTAGCCTATATTTATTTTGGGCTTTGAAATGTCAGCAGTGATTCTGCATGAAAATGATTGAATGTCCGAGTGCTTGCTAGACAAAGGACAAAGAAAGGGCCTTATTCTGTTTCATTTACACTTGTGAAAACTGAAACTGATGTAAGAAAGATCAGAATCTGACCCTGCCATTACAGTATAAAGACTCTTTAAGACCGGAATGACTTGACACTCCCCCTTGGGTATAGTGAATGGTTAAATAGCCTTCTTTGTTGTGACAATGAGTGTTGCATAATGTCCTGTACATCTTGTGAGTGGAGGATGCTACTAGATGTAGTTAAGGCCATTCACAGCTTAGTGTGTTGATTTGATGATACAGCCTTCAGGACCTGGGAGTTATAATTAATCATCTTTAGCAGAACACAATATGGCCTTGTTATCCAGCCCTATTCAAGAGCCATCTCAATACAGGAATAACAGGTTGAGTTGCATCTCCTCATGAGCTGCATCAGCAGAATTGCCTGAGTCAATGCAATAGAACATGGTGCTGCAGATAAAGAGGGAACTACCTTGAACTGTGAGGGGGAGTTTGCAGGCCAGCCTGCCTACCTGCACAACCTGTCATTGTTTAATGAGCCCCCAAATTCAGGCTGCATTTAAAATCAGCATTGAAATCCTGGATGACATTTGCTGCTTCAGCTTCTCTCGATAATTATTTTGCAGTTTTTATTATGTCATTAAAAAACACAAACATGCTAAATGACATACACTTTATTACTTAATTGATTTGAATATGGGCTGGGAGCTAATTGCATTTCTCAGCTGTAGCGTTGGTGGCCGTACACTGGGCGGGTCCGCATCTCATCCATGATGCATTCTCTGACTCTCCATTTAGAATTAGATACCATATGTGTCATTATTTAACAGTCGATAAGAGATGTGATTTGAAACACTCTTGTCATTAGCACATGACTGAATAGTCTGAGGTTTGCCACTGTCATTCCAAGGTGGTTACAGTCAGAAATGGAACTCTGTAAAAATGACAAAAGATTTAACTGAGTAAAATAGTCTGAGTAAAGATTTAACTGAGTAAAATAAATAGTCTGTAATTTAGTCAAACTAAATTACAGACTATTAATTCTGGTTGATTTAAATATTTCTGAATGCACTGGTGGGAGACTGAGCAGGATTCTTTTGTGATTTGTGTGTTGAGAGGTTTGTTAAATAGGTTCCTATTGTGGGGTTTTTAGTATTCACCATGACTGAAAAACCAGAAAGATTCTAGCTTGAGTCACAGATTCCAGGTTCAATTTGCTATTTTGAAAAAGTCACCTTTTTTGCAACAAGCCATTTTGAGACAATACACTTGAGGGCAAGGTCCAGACTGTTGTTGGTACAGAATAGCAAAATGATTTCTGTTCAAGCAGGATTGCATGGTACAGAATGTAAGAATCTTGAGCCAGAAAAGATTTCACTCCCCTTGGACTGCCATTGTTCCCTCTTACTGTACATTTTTTAAATATTTTGTCTGGAGTGTATTTTCATCCTTTATTTTTTTATAATACCATTATTGCAAGTACATCTGGAGATAGGAGGAAGCGTGGAAGAGCCTTAATGTAGCCTTATGTCTCAACCCGTCCCCCCTTTTTCTACCCATGCAGGCAATGGGATAATCACAGCTGGTTGGCAATTTTTTGATAAAATATTTTTTCACAAAAAATGCTGATTTGTCAAATCCAATGCTACTTGCAAGAAAGGATTAGTTTGAGTTCCTTGACTTAAACAGATGTTGGGAAAAAACATTTTGAAATTGTTGAAACATTCCCCTTTGACATTATTTAAACAAAATTACTTTTCCTTTCAAAATTTTACTTAAAAAACTGTTTATCATAAATTAAGATAATAAGTTGACATGTTTTGATTAACTCACATGTTTTGATGGATCCAAACAAAAAAGTGTTTTTGATTTGTCAACTGATGAAAATTTTGAGATTATTTTTTCACCCTGGATGGAAAAAGTTTTCTGTCAAGCCCAAATTATAATATGCTTAGTAATAAACATTTTCTCAAGAGAACTAAAATTGAAATTAATGGGAGCTGTTTTGTTTAAATTCCTAGTTCTCCTGTTCATTTTTAAATTCCTGTTCATTTTTTTAATTGTATCCTTTGGTATATGGTTGTGACAGTTTTCTTCCACTATTTGATCTGAGGAAGTGGGTCTGGCCCACAAAAGCTCATCACCTATTAAACCATCTTGTTAGTCTTTAAAGTGCTACACAGTCCTGGTTTTTTTTGTTTCAGCTGCACCAGACTAACACAGCTACATTTCTACCACTAGTTCTCCAGTGTCTTTAATAGGGGATGTTTCTCCAAAAGCTCAAGGATCAAAGCGCTGGAGTCATGATAGCTTTTACCTGTGCAAACAGTGACCTCTGGTGGACACTGCTAAAAACATCCTCTGATGCCTCTTCCTCTTTGTGCTACTTAGTTGAAGAGCACAGCTTTAAAATTATACTAAAAATATATTAACTTTGAGGGAGGGGTATGTGTGTGGAAAACTTGTCAGGCTGATGCACTATAAAGCTGACTCTTTAGTTATACAGAGCTCCCTTAACTTGTGCAGTTATTTATAGTAGTGGAAAGCGAGAGTAAAATGCTACTAACTCATCATGGTACTGTTTTACACTTACTGACTATCCAAGATACAGGCAATGGGAAATCGGGACCTGGGACTGCCAAAGAGGCAGTCCTTAAGATGCATGCTCAACCCATTTGGTAGATGATGTAGTGGCATCTGAACAGAGGACCAGCTGTCTGTTCCTGGACAGATAGATATTCTATGGGCCTTTGGGAGTGGGAGATAAATAAGCCCAGGGAGAAGGAATGGGGAGATGCGGTAGGGATCCCAGGTGGAAAAGCTTTACTAATTCTGTTTCACTGAGTGTCTTGTAAAATGGCTAGTTAAATCTGACATTTGATTTTTAATTTTGAGAGCCATTTTTTCCCTAGCTTAAATTAATAAAATCAGGAAGTGGGAATTAAGAATTGCAAATAATCAAATAAAATGTTTTAACAGGGAGGTTGACTTTCACAAAGGCAGTTATCAGCCAAATTATGCTTTTGCACTGCCTTTAGGATGCAGTTACTGAGTTCTGAAATGCCAGATGTGTGGGGTCTCTTCTTCATTGTATATGTTTTCACTAGATTTCACTAGAGTTTGCTTTTGTTTAATTTCCATAACATTAATCCATGCTGTTTTTGTTTATGTTTTTGTTTCTTTCAGTTAATCGCACACAGACCGAGAGTGGACTTTGTACTTTCATGTGTTAAGTTGCTTGAGTTTCCTACCTTGTGTTACTTCTGTCATAACATTGTGTGAGTGGACCAAAGTGAAAGAGAAAATGAGCCTCATCAGTGTTTACAGTGTAACAATTTATTGTTGTCTGTACAGGACTTATGAATAGTTTTTAAGGAAATAAATGTCACACTCTGTAAATTTTCTGACACAAGTCAAATAATCCTGAAAATGACCAGGCTTGTTTCAAACCTGATGGGCAAACATCCACTTGTAAAGTGACCACAACTGTTTATCAGAACTAATATTACTAACTGATAGTGACTTTACTGATTGCATTAATTATTAATGCTTAATGGGGCTCTGATTTGATTTTTTTCTATATTTGTCCTGAGTAGTGTGAAGAACATCCTTTTATTTTTCTATTAAACGTCATAATTTGAAAAAGTTTAGAGTTGAAAACAATACTTTGAATTTCCTAACAGGGCCCAAGTGCTTTAGGCTCAGTAACCTACCCTCAGGTCATTTTAAAAAAACTTAATTTCTCTAAACACTTTGTGCCGTGCATAATATATAGAGAGTGGCAACACAAGTCATACGACAATGTTTTGATTTTTCTTTACTGCTAATGTGCAACATTTAAATAGGAAGATTTTTCTTTCTTGAAGGTTTGTTATATAATATGGAATTATGGGATTTTACTCCATCTGTAACTTAATCAGTGTATTTTGCTGTCAAGGTAAAGATGCTTTGATCATTCATCTTGAACTTTTAAATTGTTTCCAGTGCAAAAAAAATCTATCCATAAACAGATGCATAATCAAAATAAGCAGCCTGATCCTAAGCAGAGTTATGTATTTCCAAATTCCTTTAGGCCTTGTCTCCACTTCTCAGGAGCTGCAATCTCCTGTTATTGGTCTCCCAGGGGTTGGTCTCCGTAGTAAGGACCTGCTAAATTGACCACTAATTGCAATCCCATCAACTCTGGTACAGTACTCCACCAGGTCACAAGGGGTAAGGGAAGTCCATGGGAGAATTTCTTCCATTGACCCCCTTCAATGGGAATGCTGCGGAGATTTGAAATAAGGTACATTGACTCCAGCTATGCTTTTCACTTAGCTGGAGTTGCATACCTTAGTTCAGCTTTGCCACCTAGTGCAGACCTGGCCTTAGACCTCTCCTTTCACAAATTTTTCTCTCTAACGCTATTTTGATATTTAGAAACCATTGTTTCCACAGAGCTGTATAAGGATCAACAATAATATTTTAGGCAGTAGCCAACAGCCTACCTTTTGCATGATGTAGGCACTTGGTGAATATGGACATGCTAGGTAGAGTGTCCCCTTTTCATTTAGATGTGGTTGTCTTAGACTAAAAAATTCCATCGGATAATGGGCTAAAAGAAAAAAATATATATACTAGCTCCCACTGAGGCCATATCTTCACTAGAAGGAAAATCGATGCTGCCATGATTGATCTTCCGGAGTTCAATGTAGCACGTTTAGTTAAGACCCTATGAATCGAACTCAGAGGGTACCCATGTCGGTGGCCAGTACTTCTGCTCCTGTGAGGAGTAAGGGAAGCAGATGGGAGTGTTTGCTCCTGTTGGCCTCTCACTGTGTGGACGCAGGGAAACTTGAATTAAGGTCCCACTCCAGCTACATAATTAACATAGCTGGAGTTGCATATCTTAATTTGACCTTCTCCTTTAGTGTAGACCTGGTCTTAGTGCCTTCAGAGTTTTGGTTAACCTTTTCAGCAAACACTGGCTAATTAGGTGTTGATTGTCAGCATGTCCTTTTTATTTAGTCTTCATTTCCTGACCGTTTTTAGAGATCTCTTAGTCTTTAAGCTAACATGCTGGAAAAATCTTTGTTTGATTTTTAAATAATGGTGGATAGCCTTGTAATCTGAGCCTTTAGTTGGTCTGTTCAGAAGTAGCATTTAGCTGGATTGTATGCTGAGGTTCTTCAACTTGCATATCCTGATAAAGCAGCTTTTAAAACACATGCTCAGGTGTAGTAAGAAAATATTTCAAATGTTGGCCTTTTATATGAATATATTGAAAATCATGTCACAGTATTACTTGATATTTGTAAGTAAGAACCTCATGAAAATAATACAGGTACGTTTAAGGACAGGCCATTTTAAAAAGAGAGTTGATGGTATTAATACTTATTCAGGAGTCTGCTGCGATCTGACCATTTAATTTTAAGGCTGTGCCACTTTAAACTAAGTATATTGTAAAGAATGACTGTCAAATGTTGAAGGTTAATATGTTTGTTAGAATAAATGCTCAAAGACTATGGCAATTGTTACATATGCACCTGATTGACTGAAAATTGTCATGTGGCAGATTAGTAGGAAATCATGGTATTTTCACTCATATGAGAAGTTCCATAAAGATCAGTGGACTAATCACATGAAGAAAACAATAGCTTATGGTTTATGATGTTTTACTTTCTCAAAGGTTAACATTACTTAGAGTTGGAATAAAATTAACTAATTAGGTCACACATGCAAAGGAATACATCATGATTGGCTTTTCAGTCAGTAGTATTTTCCTGATCTCATGTTGCAGCCAACAAGATCATCTATGCAAATATTTTCTTCCTGATTGGCTCATCAGTGATCAGAAATACTTATTCATAGAGCTGTAACTATTGTTTCTTTAGGTTGTTAGTTAAAAATAATAGTAATAATAATAATGATAAAAATAAAAATTGCAACTCCCTGGCCATATGAGAGAGATTTCTGAAGACATTCAGAATGTATGTAACAATATTTTAATTATTAATTATTATTATTATTGGTATATATACATTGACTTCATGTTGTGGTAAACATTGTTCTTTTAGTAAAATACTGATCTCAACTTCATCATGGTAATTATGAACCTCTTGGATTGGTAGACTATAATATTCTCCTCCAACGGAAGTCAGTATATCCTTCTTCTTTTGTTAGTATTTGATTTTTCATTTTTGCCTGAGACCAAATTTAAATGTTTGGTGCATTAAGGTAGGTATGTACTTGCTTTTTATTTAACAAGTTATCAATATAAGGTGACGCTAATCTCACTCCAAACTGAAGATTTACCTCTTATGTTGTAGACTAGATGACAATAAAGATTGCTTCAAAAATTATATATGAAATGAGCAATCAAATTAGAATATTTTTCCTGGTTATTTTTTAACATACATCTGTAAAATGTTGGCATTAATGGAAAAGTTATCCATTTTCTATCATTTAAATACCCATTACCATGTATTTTTTCTGCTTTTTAAGTTAAAATGTATTTTGGATCTCTTAATTTTATAAACTTTTTATGTGTGCATGGAGCAGTTCCACTCAGAAGAGGGTACTGGCTTTTTTTTGTTTTTAATTTGGCAAGAATATGGAGAAATTTGTGGAACTGCTCTTTTGTTAACATGCTTCTCAGAAACTGTTGCATTCATTCACTTTGTCATTCATACTGTTTTTTGACTTTCAATTTTTTCTGTTCACTTTGTACTTATTTCTTTTATTAAATCTCACATTTATTTTGAGTTTTGTGGTGTCATTTATTTCACGGTATTTTTTTAAAACTGGTATCCGCTTATAACTCCCAAATTACATAATAGTTTAATGATGGCAAACTTACCCAGATGTAGTATTTGTTTTCTGTTATGACTTTGAATTGGGATGTTGATGAAGAAAAAGAGCTAACTAGTCTTATATGCTGTACAAAAAGAGATGTTTTTCTATCTTGGGGAAAATTCTGAAATATCAATTAAAGTTTCTGTCCTGTTGGGAAAACATTGCTTTTCAAGATGCTTATAAACAGTCTTTCACTGTGTGATTCTCTAAGAATAGATCTGTTGGATGTTTCTGTGATATCAAGTTGGCCAAACTCTCACTACAAGATCTCCATGAAAAGGAGTCTCCTTACTGACACTTCCTCTGTGCTAATGGAAGTTATATATACTTATGAGGGGGCACAATGTGCCCTTAATTCACTCAACAGCTATAGAAAACAAATGTACCGAATATTTGGTGCTTTGTGGATTGCAGTGTATGTGAGTGAAAAAAGGAAGGCATATGATGTGTACACATGACCATTGAGGCTACGTCTAGACTGCCCCCTCTTGCGCAAGAGAATATGCAAATGAAGTGAAGTGGTGAATATTGCCACGCATTTGCATCCCTAATGAGCCGCCATTTTGCGCAAAAAAACCCTCTTGTGCAAGAGCCGTTCTGTCGCTTTTTTTCAGGAAGAACGGCTCTTGCGCAAGAGGGGGGTTTTGCGTAAAAGCCCCTTGTACAAAAATGGTGGCCCATTAAGTATGCAAATGAGGCATGGCGATATTCACTTCTATGCCTCATTTGCATATTCTCTTGTGCAAGAGGGGGCAGTCTAGATGTAGCCTGATAATCTTGAAGTTACTAACATCTCAGACATGGCCTAGGAGCCCAGTGAGTTATTAGAATTAGATTAATACACTTCCAACAGAGTCCCAAGCAGATGGAAGTGAAAGCAAATGTGACTTAATCACATCCTAAACTAGGATTTAAAGAAACTGACCTATCATGTCTCTGTGGAAAGTGGGTGATGGAAAAGGGTACATAGTTCTGTGTAGTAACTGAATTGGTAATAATTAAAGGTGAACACTTTGTGACCTGATAAAATATTTCTTAGAGTGGCTTCTCTCTTGCAAGAGCAAATCCTTTGTAATAATATTTTGCATTTCTGTACCACCTTCCAAGGATCTGAGAGCTTTTTTATAAACGTTAGTGAATGCTAAGCTTCACTCCACCCAGGTGAGGTAGGTATTATTTGTAGTTTATAGACTGGGAAAAATAGAATACAAGAGATCAAACAATTGGTCCCTACCCCACATAGCAAACCTGTATCTGGTTCTGCAGCAAAACCCAGGTTTTTTTTGCCTCCCAATTCTGTGGTATTTAAGAGGGAGGATTGTGTAGTGGTTAAGTGTATGAAGTTTTTAGGGTCCAGACAGGTTTGACCTCTTTGTACTTATACTTAGAAAATTGTATTTTTCTTGAACTAGCTAGTCTCCAGACGTCCTCCATTATGGTAAAACTCAAGTACAAGAGAGATGGGTTTCACTTTCTTTCACTCACGGTGGAATATCTTTATTTTGGATGTTTTTTTCAGTGTGATAGTCACATTTTTCCAGCTTTACCAGATGATTTAAAAATCTCAGTTCCAAACAAAGTCTTACACAAGCATAAAATCTTCCTCGAATATGTCTCTGTTCAAGTCAGGTATGCCTTGTACATACTGACTACTGCATGTTACCAGCGTATGTGCAACTTTAGGCGTTGTGTTACTTTGACCTTTTGTGCACTCTATGCTTGATGCAATTTACTTGCAACTTAAATATTGACTCTCTCTTGTTCTTTCTGTAGCTTTTTTAGTCTTCCCAGTGCCTGCTCCATAACATCAGGAAGACATGTTAATTAGAAGATTTATTAAGGCCAAAACATCTCATACAGAAGAAATTAATTGGCGCTTTCACCTTTATGCTTGCAATATATTGCACAGAAGAGAGCATGTAGCAAGTACTAAGACATACTGTATCTTTTGGACAAGTTCCCTTGAACAGGTTTCTTGATAAATGAAATCTAAGATACTTAATATAAGATAAATTGCTAATTAAGGCTTATGCATGACATGCACTAAAACCAGGATACTAATGATCTCTGGGGTTAAGAACCCATACAACTTAGTCCTAAAAACATTGTTTTAAAGTTTCCAAGTAACAGAGGAACCAACTTCGTGTGTTAGCATGAATCAGATTTTCAGCTTGCTGTTTCAGCTGCCTTTGTAATGGGATTTATATTTGTTCCTCTTAAAATGATTTTAGATTGTAACTAGAGAAGTTTCTAATGGCCTTAACCTATCAGCTGGATTCTAATATTTCTTAGCAATAATTACTTTGTATACTTTTTAATGTAGATTATTGACAACTTTTATAGCCAACCCTCCCCCACCTTTTATTGTTCAGTTTTCCCAATGATAACACACATACATGTTCAAAAATCCCTTCCCCTCTGTCCTCAATTTCTGTGCTTGCACCAGATTCTTCAGTTCCAGGTAATATTGATGGCAATTCCAGAATCCTTCTCTATCTGCAAATAATCTATTCATGTGATGAGTGATAATGGAACCATTTTAAAGGACAACTAAATGTAATTTGTTAATGCTGGAGATAAGTTCTATGCAGTAGAGCCTAAAGCTAGAAAAATGTTGAGGTCATGGTTGTAGGCTATAAATGCCAGAGGCCACTTCCCCTAAAGCAAATACTGTTAAAACGCTACACTTCCGCTGCACCAAACCAAATGTATAGACATACACAGATGCCCATTTTTACATTTTTGTTTAAAAGTAAATACATAAACTAGTTACAGGACTAACCTAAGGTAGGTTTTATAAAAAGTTGAACTGTGTTCAATGAATATAGAATTTAAAAGAGTTCTTTATAGTAAACCTAAACATTTGCAGTGAAAAAAATGAAGCCACATATTTATAATCTTAGTCATAAATCTAGTTATCTTTGCCTCATTTTAAACATCTGTTTTAAAATAAAACCTGATAGAAGCAGAGTGGTGGCTACTAAGGAGCTGGTTACAGCTCTCTGATTCACTGTCTCTCAGGTGCAGGTTACACCAACATTAATAAGTAATATTACCCCCGCCCCTGTGCTTCAAAACATAAGCCAAACCACTAACTTTTTGGTGTTTGGGAGGAGACTCTTCTCACAGGCATGTTGCTGCATAGTTTTTTATTCTGAGGTTTTTCACCTTTTCTTGGTGCACTGGTATTGTTTGTAGAGATGATATGGGACTAAATATTATGTCTGTTCCTATGCCCTTATTATTAAAGGGGGAAAGTATTTGCCCATTGTAGCCATGTACTTTTCCTTCAAGTTTCAGCAGATGTGTTCCTTTCAAGAAACCTGTGGGAAGGGCAAATGAACTATCCATCTAAAATTCTTTATTGTTGTACTTCTGGGTCTCTTCAGTGTCTGGCCACAGGAGTTTCCCAATATGTGTAACTGTAAATTACCTTCTCTCTCAGATTAACTGTACAACATATGCAGTAAGTAGGGATCAAAGGGTGGAATATTATATGAAATACCCTAATACTAATAGATCCATGTCTATAGCAGTGTGTCTTCACATTTAGATCTGTTTGTAATAGGCTTTATTGACTGTGGAATATCACCAAACTCTGTAGCACACATTTCATGAAGAAGAGACATGACCAGATGGACAGGACAGGAAACTTTGAGAGAGAGAGAGAGAGAGAGAGAGAGAGAGAGAGAGAGTGTGTGCATGCAATTCTACATGCAGTTCACATGGGTTGAGATTTTGATTCAGAATCTCAGACTGCTTGGGTGGCAACAGTATCTGAAGTAATAGTCAGGAGACTGCATACAGGCTAAACCGGGATGGGTAACAATTTTTGAAGGGGGGACACATCACAAATTTCTGGAGTGGTTTACGGGCTGCCCCTGGAAGGGGTGGGGTCTTTGTCAGAAGGTGCCGGTCCAGGAGGCTTCCCGAGCTCCATCCACAGACCCTGATTGACTTGGGGGTGGTGGGAGCACGTTAAGTCTTTGTCCCCCATGTCCCAGTGCCTAGAGAGAACTGCCAACTGTTCTGAACAGCTGGTGGTTCCCTCTGGTGCCACGTACCCCTGGCAGTGGGAGGAGACTTCACATGCTCCCCTGTCCACAGGCTCAATTGGCCTAGGGGCAGGGGAGCACCAGGGTGGCCGCGGGCTGCATCAATGAGTTTGGCAGGCTGGATTCAGCCTACGGAGGCTGTCTTGCCCACCCTTGGGCTAAGCAGTCCCATGAGTTACATATAGTAAATGATTTCTTGTGTTAAGGCACGTCTGCGTAAAAGATATTTGTTACTGTGTTTCGGTGCTTGGGAGGTCTGAACAGGGTAAGCCAAGGGGCAAAGAAGAAACCATCTTTGAAAGCTGATGTCCATTATCTAGGATTTTAATTAGCCACCACTCTGCGTAGGCATAGGTACTGCCCATATTCATCACGGTGGAGCTCACTTAGAACTGTCCAGACTCACTTTGGGCAGCAGTGTGTTTTTGACTGGTGCAAAAGTATGCCTATTTGAATATTTTAATGTTAAATAAGTTTTCAATTACAAGAAATTTTTAGAATTAAATGAGATCCCTAAAGCAAAATTCAGAAAGATTTGTGACAGGCATTTATCGCAACTTCAGACATGGACCTATTTTGTGTTGTGCAGAAGTTTGAATGTGCCTTTAGTTAAGCACTGAATGTTTGTAATGAAAACAAACCTCACCCTCCCCAGCCAATGTTATCCTTGTTATGATTTCTGCTCTCTGTCTGTTAGAGACCTGTGGTTTAGTTTTTAGTGCCATTAAATGTTGTGTTCACCAGGAAAAATTGTCTGCTACATACAGCATGTTCACAGGACTAGAATACTCCATTCTTTCTCTCTCTCTCTCCAAGATCTATTCGGAACAGGAACTTTCTAATCACATAGCGGAATCATTTTGGCTCATTTTCCCATATGATTCTGTTGTTGTACTTTGATGTTAGCTGAGGGATTGAACCTTAATGTAAATGACCAGTGGCCATGCTCATCCCAAGATGATGCATTAGTGCCTTGTGAATGGAAAGCAGTTTAATTTCCAAAATCCCAAACTGCTTTTCCCTTGTCCAGAGCAAAACAAAGCTGCCAAGCTCTTTATTTGAATGTTTGAGGGATGCTAAATCCAAAACAATTTGTATTCTGCTCAGACTGGAGAGGTGAGAGCAGACCCAAGTCTTTTCACCTTACTAGACAATGTGATCTCTCTCACTGAGCTACATTACTCTTAGGAAATATTCTGTAATTAGCCTCTGGCATTTCTTCACAAGGACTGTCAACATGGAAACCAGGGCTAGGCTATCTATACAGACCATCAGCAAAGGGAACCCAAACCAACCATAGTATATAGCCCTTTGTCACTCCTCCCTGGCCACAAATTCTGCTTCCCTAATTACAGAAGTAGGTGGTAATAACATGCCTTAAAAGTTCAGTAAGAATTTTTATCCACCACCTAAACTTCACCCTTTATTAAAATACTAGAGAAAATGCCCCTGAAGCCAGAGGCTGTTCTCACAATTGTAAATCAGGAGTAACACTGCTAAAGTCAATGGAGCTGCCATGGTATGTGAGAGAAGATAGCCCAGCCCTTCTTTCCTATGTTGCAATATTCTGCATCAAATCTCTCATGGCATGACACATTGGCGCAGGAGAACATTCTGTTAAAGAGCAAACCACTCCCCCAACAAATGAGTGTCATTAATTATAGTCCTCACAGAGCTCTGAGGTAGAGGTATCAGTATTTTATCCCCTCATCTCCCAAATAAGGAAACAGGCACAAAAGTTAAGTAACTTTCCTTAGATCACACAGTCAAGTCAGTAGCAGACCCAGGTGCCAAATGAGCCAGCTAGGCTCCCAAGATCTGTGAAGGTAAATCAATTCCCTCTCCTATGCTCATCTAATAGCCCAAACTGTTTCCCTGTTAGAAACACATGTTATTGGCTGGTTTTGTTTAGCAGAAGCTCTGAAAGTCTTGGGTAAAGACCACTGACAATACTTTTCCACCATAAGTTATGAGAGATGTATGCCTGGTATTTCTATCTATATCTATATATATGTATATAGGCCTGGTGTATAATTATTCATACTCCAAGCCTCTGGCAAATGAACGATGCTGCCAAAACCAGTTCTAGGCATGCAAGACCTTCACAAGCCAGTGCAGAGCTGGCTGAATCTGTACAAAGCTGCCCAGGAACAATGGCAGGTGTAACCTCTTTACTAAAGTGATTATTCAATCTTCTAATGATACATAACAGTTTAGCTATAGCTGCTATTACCTGAAAGATTTGAGTAATTAACAGAATACAATGAAGTCCTTCATACAGTGACGAGAGACCAGTGCAAATCTTGCTTGGAAAGATGTAATCTGTGATCCATGTGGACATGTTCAAAAAAAGGAAAATACTGAAAGTGAACTTGGCAACATATTTCTAAATTCTGGTGTGATGAATCCCTAGGATTTGTAAATAAACAGTGCAAACAGTCTTCCCATGCTGATTAGTTGCTCGGTTAATAAGGGAAGAGGTGCTAACAAGGCTAGACTGTATTCTATTATAGGTGAGGGAATCTGCATGCACCTCATAACAAATATGTCATCCTTGTAGCTTGGGTCAGATTACTACTGCAGCTCTTGTGTCCTTAAAAGAATAAAAAGTACATCTGAGCAATGCACCCTGGAGTTTTATATGTTTTAATGCAGGGGTGGGCAAATTGGTTCGCCAAGGTTAGTCCCTGGCAGGCCACCACTGCTTTATTTATCTGTGTCACTGCTATATTCATCTGCGATTGCCACTCCCATTGGCCATGGATTGCTGTTCCTGGCCAGCAGGAGCTGCGGGAAGTGGTGTCCCTGTCCACACCGCTTCCCACTGCTCCCATGGGCCAGGAATGGTGATCTGTGACCACTGGGAGCTACACTCTCTGGTATCTGTGAAGGCACAGGTAAACATGATGGCTACAGCCTGCCAGGGGTTAAGCCTTGTGAACTGCCTCCATTTTATTTCCCATCCCTATTCTAATGGATGATCTTTAAATAGACAACATAGCCATGGTAAGTGGCATTTTGTTTCCTTCTGTGGAGGCTGTGCAGAAGTGCATGTATAACACAGCTGTAACAGTGCATGTATAACACAGCTGTAACATTAGAACAATCTGGCAGGTGGCGCATGCTCCCAAAGTTACAGAGTTTTGTTGCAAATAGCTTCGTTGCAATGGGCACTCCTAGATTTCGCTGTTAACTTTTCATGTCAAGTTACGTTCCTAGGTTTGGAAATGGACATCTCTGAATGGGCTTTTCAGTGTGAGTTTGCCTTTAGAATGACGAAACCATATACAGAGCCAGTTAAGTGCCATGGACTGGAATAGAGAGAGATTAAATTTGGCTTTGTTCAGCAGTGTACCAGGAATGTCCGGCTGTGGGGCAGGAAATGACCCGCAAGCTCAAAGCTGAACAGGAAGGAAGACATGCATGAATGTTTTCAGCCCCGTTGTAGCGAGGCCACTGCTACTGAAGATCCAAAAGAAACAGGACAGAAAATGAAATTGTCTTGGGACCAAACTGTCCCTTGACAAACATCCCCAACAATGCTGTTGCCCTCAAGGAGATTGCATGGAATGGAATCAGGGCAAAAGCTGGCCCTATTCCAATTTTATGTTCTTAACCTTAAGGAACACACTCAGACAACCAGAATTTAGATTATATTTTATTTAATGAAAACTACAAAAGATAACTTGCCTCTAAAAATCAGGCAGTCAAGTCACAGTTTGTGATAGAAATAGGAAGGTGCTGCTGCTTTTTTTTTCTGTTTTTGGTCCTACCACGCAATGAAAACCTTCCTTATGTTACTTAGGCAGGATTAATAAATAACATTTATTTATTAAGTCCCTCCATCAACTAGCCCTAAAGATGCATGGAAAGCCATATGAATAGTTTTCTATTCTGATACAGTGCATTGGTTTTTAATCCCAATTTCAAAATTTACTACATCATTGCAATCAGGCAAACCACCGTGATCAATCTGTAAGGAGATCTGTGGTTTAAACTAGTATCAAATGCAGCATTCAGTTTGTGGTAGCCCTTGCCTTGCCATACAACTCCTTCATATGTTCCAATGGTTGTCAAATGCACTCATACTTGCACCTCTCACTTACATTGTCATCTCCTTGCTATTCAATTTTTGGTACATTTAGCACCATGTTTTTGCAAGTTTAAAAGAAATCTGGCTTATGCACGCGTGCACACATTCACAGAGATGACATTGCCACAGTGCTTAAAATGTTGACAGTGTAACAGAACATTTCTAAAACTAAATCGGTTAATTCAGCTATTAAGAGCTATGAGACTGCACAACATAGCTGAGGGAGATGCTTCACATAAGACAAGCAAAAAGAGATGAGCAGGACAAGGTATGCCAGGAAACCTCATCCTGCATTAAAAAGAGTGCTGCTGCAAAGCTAGAGTGAGGTTCTGGTAAATTCTCTATTCGTTTCAGGGTGATAATTACATCCATGTCTCTGCTTAGCCCACCCCATTTCTACCTTGGCACAACTGAGAGTGAATGGGACAGGGACATCACTCTCATGAGCCATGCTTAGCCTTACGTGCACTCATGAAGGCAGGCAACTAACTTTCATACTAGGCCACAGCTTGCAGGATCAAGGTCTAATCTGTTTTCCCTTCAGTATTCTTCTGTTTACACTTTCAAACTAGTATACAAAAAAAATCACTTAAGTGCTGGCCCCCATTTTAAAATAAAGTAACAATTACCCTATGAGGACTTGTCCTTTAGAAAATGTGCCAAGCTGCATTAAACCAATCTCAGATAAAAGAAGTCAGTTTAATGGCCTCACAGTGGCAAGTGATAGTTAAGGCAAAGAACCAAATGTTTTTTTAAATGTATGTCTGAAAAGTTTGAAAAAAAGAGAGATGGTTTGCATGCTACAGTATGAACAAAATTCACTTGCACCACATAATCTGGGGAAGTCAGCTGCAAAGCCCATGGGATTCTTTCCATTGGTTGCAATGGAATCTGGCTCCGTCCCTAAAGGCTTGATTCTGAAAGATGCCAGAGTACTGGGAGCATCTTTTGAGTTTGAGAGCAGGACCCAAGTAAAACTGGATGTTCCTAAAGTGAGGCTTAGGCTGTGCTCATAACACATTTTTATTCACTATTAAGAAGTTTGGTCCCAGTATTTCAGTAGACCCTAATAGTCCATGCAATGGGAGCTCCCTTCCACACAAGGCAACTCACCCACAGCTATTCATATTATGGAAATAGCCTGTCATGGAGAGCAATGTTCCAGTCTGAGTGGAAAGGCTGTAGTCACAATGCAGGTATGCTGGGAGAAAGCCTAAATAATAGCTGCTCAAGGAATGTGGTTCCATCAGATCCTCTAGGCCCCATCTGCTGAATTTAGATCCCTGAGTTATATGACTTCAGCCTTCCATTGCCGTTAAGGTTTCTACCTAGTTTTATGCTCAGAGCATACAAAAATGGTGGGGGAAGTAGCAACCATTGTTGTATGATGCAATTAAAAGAGGGCAAATTAATGATTTTGGCCTTGCTCGATCAAAAACAAGGAATGCTTTCATTTGACAGTATTTAGCATTCCACTCATCTGATCTATTGGCAATTGCATTTGTTAGTTCCTAACAATTATGGCCTCCTCTAGTTAATTTCAGCTGGCTGTAATGGAGGACAAGGAAAACTACTTTCTTCTTGCCTCAGATTATTGATTGAGCCAGTGATGCTGATCCTTCCACCATCTGGAACACCATCCTCATTGTATAGGTTCCTGAATCCATCATAGAACTCATCTGTCTCCATGGTGTCTTCATGAATTTTGATGGAAGTAGGTGGGAAAGTTGCTGGAACTGGCTGACTCACAGTGACTCTTGAACGTATTCGACTTGAATTTTTCACTTCAGTGTAACAGTTGGGTAACTTTTCCTTGGGATGGGCTTGGATGGCTTGGTTGGCAGGATTAAAGATATAAACAGCATTGGATGGCTGTAAATGCATTAGCTGCTGATCCACAAGCTCTTTACAGTGGATGAATTTGATGCTGCTAACCTGTAATGAAAGAAACAGAACCAGTTTTCTTCAGTTTGTTAAATTATTCTGTCCTCTAGTCAAAGCTTTAACTGATGTCCAATTTTAAGTAAGCTCAGCGAAAAGAAAAAAAACCTGTATCAAATGTTACAGTATGTAAGGCTTACAATAATAGCTTAGCATTGACAGAGCTTCTCACGAGAAGCTCTCAAAACATGTTACAAAAGGTGGGTAAAAATTATGACTCCAGTGTTACTGATGAGGAAACTAGACTATTGAGTGTTCAGTGACCGATTACCCCACACTTACATCATAAGCAAATGGCAAAGCTGAGAACAGATTCTAGGGTTTTTTACTCCCAAACTAGCTCCATACTCACTGCACATGTTCCTAATGAGCACCCACGTGTTCTGTAAATCAGAGCAAATGTCTCTATTTCAAGACAAACAGGAAATGCCCAGGAAGTAGGGTGTGGCCTTTATCTTGCCAGATCTTCAAAAGAATATTTTTAGCTGAAGTAAATGCACAGAAAGATCCTGGCATTCCTAGATGATATAATGGGGTAGATTTTCAAGCACACTCAGCACCCAGCAGTTCCCACTGAGCACAATGGAGATCCTCTTCTTCTTTGGGAGCAAATGGAAATTAATCTGTCTTGAAAATTGGGTCTAATATGATCAACCCCCCCTTTCACAGTAACAAACCCTCATCACTAATTGCAGTCACTCTCTCCTCCAGGAGTATCTAATTCCTATTAACACGAAAGGGGTTGGTATCAAATGGAGACTAGACCCTGACATACACATGCACTCCTGAGAAGTACATTAAAAACGTGCAATGTTGGTTGTAAATACGCCGCAAGCTTTATTAATTTTTCTGTGTGCTGGCCTCAGATTTGTGGTTTGAGGCCATTTTGACTCCTACCTGTGCTTTCTTTAGCAGATCAGTAATAACAGGAAACCAATCAGGAGTCAGCCTCTCCAACTCTAAGGTGATGATCACCAAAGCCAATGTGGAGCCCTTAAACTGCAATAGTTGGTGGCATGCCATACAGTGCTGTAGCTGTTTGGTCAAGAACGCAACATGGCGGGAAGGATTCATCTGAGGCAGCCCATTTAGTAGATGGGGCCAGTTGGACATCACCATGGCATGGAACTGGAGAGAAGATAAATATATACATGCAAATATATATATATATATATATAAAGCAAAGGTCAACAGTGTACGTTTCATATGTTATTGACCAGAAGTGCAAACTAATTTCAATCCACATCAGGAAGTGTAGAGATATTTTTTTCCCCTGTTACCACGTGTTACTTGGTTTGTGTTGTACTTGCCAACCATCAAACTGTTTTAAAGCTTATAATGAATGTAAAGGTCTGTGTTTTCTAACAAATTCTGACGTCACTGCATTATCCTGATTGCCAGCATAGGAGGTTTGAATTTGACTCGTATAGTTAAAAAAGAAAAGTGGCATTCAAGCCAGCAGATAGGAGTAAAATCAGCTTCTGTTTCCTCATCATAGGAAATTCATAGTCCAAGCACCTGCCTATGATAGGTGGTTTTCAAACAATCAGCAGCTTAATATGGTTTAAATAGCCATCCATTACCATAAAATGAAAGAGTCCAGGATATGTTCATATCACGTGATTTTTGCCTTATTAAGCACATGATCGTTTCTTTAAGAAAAGTGTAATTGTTTCTATAAAGTGTTTAGCAAATAATGTGACTAAGTGCCAGATCAGTATGGTCTAATTGCCTAAAGCAAGGATCAAGTTTCAGTGGGGGAAAGAGATGGCTTAAGAGGACCTGCGCGTGCAATGTAGCAAAAACTCTGACAGCTTTCTATGTACAGTATTAATAGAATGGAAATAGTTAGAAATATTTTTGCAGTGTGTATTTAAAATAAAAATGGAGTATAGTTGTGCTGCACAGGAATCTTTTTAAAGTTCATTTTAGTTGTCCTTTAAAAATGGGGGTCTGGTTGAATAATTTTTAAACAAAAAAAAGATTTTGAATAGCAGAGTGTTTAAAAGAAATCAACATTTTTCACTGTAACGTTCTTCAAAAGACTTGCAGATGGCTAAGAATGTGTGGCTTAAAAGTCACTGTGGAGGAGTGTGAGCGTGTGCACGTGCATCTATGTTTTCTAGTCTTACTTGGTAAAAGTGCTGTTTCCTTAAAAGAGAAACAAAACTAGTTCAGACTTTTGCAAAATTCTTAGTGCTTACAATGTTTAAGAAATCCATAGGTGTTGCTGTATAAAGATCCCAGTGAAGTTTATCTAGTATAATTCTTTCCATTCTCAAAATCTCAGCTGGAGAGCATTTACAACCACTCTGCACTGCAAGCTTCTTCACTGATGGCATTACCTGTGAAAATTGAAAATAATAATAATTAATAAAGAAACCACCTTCCTACAAGAGGTTGTTTGTGACCTTTTTTGTCTTTGCATGCAAAGGGGTTTGTTTAACATATGGGTGCCTTGAGGTGCCAAGAAATGTTTAAATTCACATTACCCAATGTCAATTCTAAATACCGTTCAACAACACCAAGAGGGAACATGAGCCTGTTTAATGTTAGAGATTCAAGAGCACTGCTTCCCCAGCCTTATTATTTTGCTCTTGTGACAGTCTTGCTGAAGCCTCCAGCTAGTCTGTTTCTCAGTGCTTTTTCTTTATTTGTGGTTCTCTTATTTCCTGTGGCCAGTGACTCAACTTCTCCTGTATACTGGGAAAATATTGCAAAGCACAACCTTACGGTATGTATTGGGTGAAGACTCATGCACATTTCTGCAGAGTGTTTCAAGGATGTTGACATTTTCAAGGAGAAACTCACTTCTGAGTCCAACATTTAGAATACTGTGTTCTTCTATTTCATGACCTTTAGAAAGGCCTTGATCTCAGAGCTCTTCTCTTTTCGTTATAGTTTCAAAAAGAAAAGCTATGGGCACATTTAGTTAATAAAGAGGTGAGGATGCAGTTTTATGCTCTTTAACGGCAATTTTGAGCTATCATTAAAAGTCTTCGATTTTTTTTTAACTCTTAATCTAAATTTAAAATGCAATTTATCCAAAATGTTTGAAATGATTTTGAGGTGTCCTTTCAACATGCTGCAAGCGGGTATGTGTGCAGTTGCTGATTTTAGTGTTTAACAAACCAACTGGGAATCAATCCATGAGTATCTGGCCCAAACTACAGTGATTTAATGCAACAGAAGTTGAGCCATATCTTCTGCCCTCATTCTAACCTTCCTTTGAAGAAGGAAGGCCTGTCTTGGCTTCCTTATCCTCCAAATTTCCCATCTCAGCAACACAAGTGAAGGACAGATCTTCAATAATATACATCTTTCATTCAAGGAACTCATGACACTTCCCAAAAGTTGGTTATACAATATCAAGGCAGGAAGTGTGTCACTACTCCCACTTTACATGTTAGCTAATAGCAGACGCTAAGCAGGCAACAGCCCGGAAACATGAATAACTTCTTGAATGACAAGAAATTGATTTACTGAAATAAAACTTACGGACCTCATCTTCTTCGTTGGTTTTTGCTGCAAGGACGAGGCAGGTAATTGCTATGCACCGAAGGTATTTTACTTGTGCCTGAAGAAGAAAGAGCAAGACACTGAACATAGAAGATGATGTTCTCAATGAAAATAAACAATGGTCATTCAGATAGAGAGGCCCAAATCTTCACCTAGGCTGCGTCTAGACTGCATCCCTTTTCCGTAAAAGGGATGCAAATTAGACACATCGCAATTGCAAATGAAGCGGGGATTTAAATCCCCCCCGCTTCATTTGCATAAACATGGCTGCCGCTTTTTTCCGGCTCGGAGCTTTGCCGGAAAAAAGCGCCAGTCTAGATGGGATCTTTCGGAAAATAAAGCCTTTTCCGAAAGATCCATTACTCGGAATAAAGGATCTTTCGGAAAAGGCTTTATTTTCCGAAAGATCCCAGTCTAGACTGGCGCTTTTTTCCGGCAAAGCTCCGAGTCGGGAAAAAGCGGCAGCCATGTTTATGCAAATGAAGTGGGGGCGATTTAAATCCCTGCTTCATTTGCAACTGCGATGTGTCTAATTTGCATCCCTTTTACGGAAAAGTGATGCAGTCTAGGCACAGCCCATTGGTTTGCATTAAATCTGCTTGGACCTACGTTGTAGTTTCTATTAATAAAGGATAATATGATGCTTAAATCCCAGAAGCATAGGATTGGAAGAGACTTCAGGAGGTCATAGAATCCAACCCCCTGCTAAAAGCACAACCAATCCCAACTAAATCTTCCCAGCCAGGGCTTTGCCAAGCCAGGACTTAAAAACCTCTTGGGATGGAGATTCCACCACCTCCCTAGGGAACCCATTCCAGTGCTTCACCACCCTCCTACTGAAATAGTTTTCCCTAATGTCCAACTTAGACCTCCCCCCACAACTTGGGACCATTGCTCCTCATTCTGTCATCTGACACCACTGAGAACAGCGTCTCCCCAACCTCTTTAGAATCCCCCTTCAAGTAGTTAAAAGCTGCTTCATTCTTCTCTTCTATAGACTAAATACAGGCAGTCCCCGGGTTACGTACAAGATAGGGACTATAGGTTTGTTCTTAAGTTGAATTTGTATGTAAGTCGGAACTGGCTCCAGATTCAGCTGCTGCCTCTGAAACTGACCAGGGGCTGACTACAGGAAGCCGGAGGCAGAGTTGCTCTGCCCCCAGCTTCCTGGAATCAGCCTGATCAGTTTCAACAGCTGCTGAATCTGGAGCCTGGGACAGAACAGCTGGGGGCTGCCCGGTAGGTT